CTACTGGACTCTTTTAGAATATTTTTCTGAGTTTACACACCTATAATATTCAAATAATGGAACTTAACAAAAAAAGGGGATACAGATGAATGTCCATTTCTTATCTGTGTATTCAAAATGGTTAGGATAGATATATAGTTACATTCTCTTAATGAATAGAGGGATTTGTCCTAATATTGTTTGTACATAAGATATCATGTCTGCCTCTTGTGCAGCAATTAACTACTAGGAAGCATGTATACAATGTGTTAATTATTGAAACTGTAGTACTAATTGGTTTTGAAACTGTCTCATTGCTATTTGTTTCTCAATAAAATTATGGAAAAAAAAGTATGAAAGAAGCATCTCCAGAAAGCGAGATTAGGTGAATATCCCTGGGCTTCACTCAGAAAGTCAGCTATATGTGTAGTGGACCTAGGAATCAGCATTTTAGAGGATGGTCAGCTCTTTCTGAAGCAAGTTGAAAGAACCTTGTGAAATCTGGCACCCCCTCTTCCTGGGCATCTGCTGTCACCCATGTGGGGCTGCAGTGGAGGCAGTGGGGGGATGGAAACCTGCTGTGTGAACTGAAAAATCCATCAGAGCACGAGTCAGGCCAGCCAGAGTGTGATCAATTGATCAAACAAGTCAATCTAATTCTGTAGCCCAAATAACCACTGGATTGATTAAAGTTTTCTCTTACCACCTACCATACATGGTAGGGCCTCACTTAAATAGGTTAGGCTCATAAAGAGAAGTATATGAAGCAGGTTTTTCTTTAAGCTGATATATTGTGCCCTTGCAAGATGTTCCTTTGCATTTACACCCCAGTTTCAAGAGGTTGTTTTACAAAGCCATTACATGAAACTCTGCATTAAACACAGGCATTACACAGGTGGATGCTTTTGCTCCACTCTGCATGAACAAGCAGATTTCTTTAATTAAATATATGATTTCCTTTAATTACAGCAGTTAGTTAGAAAGGTGATAACCAAATAAAATTTTATCCTACAAAATTTATAGAGAACAGGGACATTAAAATAACATTAATGTTGTAGGAAGACTCAATGAAAGAGCAAACAGGCAGAAAATTGACAAATCTCTCACCTTAATGACTTGCAGCCACTGTGTTGGGAGTAGTATAATTCTTATCTGCATTTCCTTGGATTGGCTACTTTTTTCCAATAACAGCCAACAGTCTTTTAATACTTTTGTTTCATGTCTAACATTATTAGTGCATGAATGATTCCTTTTATTCTCATGGTTTTGCAGAAGAGTTTTACTTTGAAACTGACTCATTTGGAATTGAAGGCAGTACTCATGAGTTGAGTCAGAAGCCATATTCTAGATCAAGGCTTCTAACAATTCTACCATCCATCCCTTTTTCAGAGAAAAAAGTTTGTAATGCTCCCTCAACATCTTACAACATGTTTTGTAGATAATTTAATCTTTCTACACATATTTGGAAAATCAGCATAATACATACCTCTATTAAGGTAAAAATATAAAAGGTAATCGACTTACAATAAATTACTATATCTTTAAAAATGCAGATACTTGGGCAGGACTATATTAGAAGGCATAATGAAGTTGTCAAGTGCTAACACTTTTAAGAAGAATCAAATTGAATGGAAAATCCTCCTGGTGTGTTTTATTGGTAACTCAAACACTCAAGTGGCATTATGTGGATTCATTTGATTTTCTGAAATAATAAAGGACTTCTGGGAAAGTTTCAAATAAATCAAAGCACATTCTTCCCCTAATTTTCCTTGTAGTTTGCTTCTGAAAACCCTGTTTATATAAAAAAGTGTTGCAGAAATAGCTGTGTTATATGTAAAACAGAATTAATTTCTAGGCTCAGATAATTGTAAGTAATATTTTGTCTTCATCAATGGAAGGATTCTTCACTATGTGGATGATAATCTCTGCTTACTAGGTGTTGGAATCATCCAAGATGCCCTTGTGTTTGTCAGTTTTCTGTTGCTATTTCAAAACCTCTGATAAAATCAGCTTAAAAGAGGAAGGGTTATTCTGGATCACAGTTTCAGTTTTAGTCCATAGCTAGCTGGCTCTACTGCAGAAACATTTGGTGGAAATATGTGGCAGAGAAAAGCTTCTCACCTTGTTACATCCAGGAAGGAGAGAGAGAGAGAGAGAGAGAGAGAGAGAGAGAGAGAGAGAGAGAGAGAACGAACCAGGGAGGAAGAGAAGGTAGACAGTATGTACCCTTCAATGGCATGCCTGCCCCTGGTGACCCACTTCCTTCATCTAAACCTCATGCCCTAGCAGTCTATTCAGCCAGTGAATGCATGAAAGTATTAAGCCACTTTCTGAAGCTGGAGATCTCAAGAGCCAATCTCTGCCATAGAAGCCCATCAACTGGTAACCAAGCCTTCAACACAATGAGTACTTCAGGGTTTTTTTTTTTTTTTTTTGGTAACAACTCTATAGGATTTTAAAACTCATCTCATTAAGAAACACTACAACAGATGCAAAAGGGAGAGTACTCTACCAGCATGGAAGACAAGAGGCAAGAGGGAAGAACACTAAAACTCATTGGATGCCAGGGAAAGTATTACAAACTTACACCTTCAGTGTGATTTTGTTTATTGTAATGTGATTTTGTATATTTTAAAACTTGTTTTAAACGTTTTGAAAATAGCATTGATTGCCAACCCAACATAATTTTTGTCATACCTCTTTATGGTTGCTTAGACCCTACTTTACTTAGTAATGCTATCTCTCAGTTTTCTAAAGTATTTATTTTGTTTTGTTTTTGTCCACAGTGATTCAATGGCAGAAAATAGTTACTTGTTAATGTTCACAAATGTCCATCCATTAAATTGCCTGTTTTCTATTTTACAAATAAAGAAACTGTGGTTCAAAGACATTAACTTGTGCAAAAACATACAACTTGTCAGTCATAGAACCAAGGATTAAAATTCTTGTCGTTTGGAATCTCCCAAACACTATACACTTCCTGTAGTAATTTCACTATGTTTGCAACTTTCATTTTTCTGTAAAGATGCAGAATGCTAAATGATAAATTTTTCTCCAATAAATGCCATTTTAACTTCCCTTGGAAAAGCTTTGTCTTCTGACATCAATATGAGACAAATGAGTGTAGTGCCCTGGAGAGGGGACAGTAAGGCCATCATTTGTTTTTGTTTCAAGGGAAACCAGAAAACATTAAGCTTACATTGTATTCCTTTTCTGGTGAGTTTATCCAGTTTTGTTTAAGCAGCTCTACAGCATCCATAAAGATTTTTCTCCACAGTATGCTACTGTAATAAGAAGTTTATCAAATAAAGCCATCCACAAAGAGTGTGTAGATGTGCCACATCAATGACCCCATGCTGAGTGCTGGTTACTTCCAGGAAACCTGGTGAGAAAAATTCACCTCCCATTCTACAATTACATTTGCTCCAAGTCTTGTGCTTTGAGAGGTTTTTGAACAAATTGGGGTCTTCAATTCACTTGAACAATTCCAGTCTTCTAATTTAATCCTAAAGAATAGCTTTTTGGAATCTAATAATGTATTGCAGAACATGATAAACAACCCATTTCCCTGGGTTTTTCTGTAATTATCTTTGGGAAATAAATCTCACATGTATGAGCAGGCAAGGTTATAGGGTGAGCTGGATACTATTTATTTGTCCTGGCATTTTTGGGAGTAATAACTATAAAATTCATTTATTGAGCACCTGAGAAGTGTCAGGTACTAAGAGGATAATAGAGTGCCATGTGTATACTTTGTGTCTCTGTATCCCTGGCTGTGGCTGGTTGGACCAGGAATGGTTCTTTGACCCAATTTAAATTACCTCTGGAATTTAGACCTGCTACTGTGAATCAATAGTCAGTGGCTAATAATTCTTGAAGTTGGAAGGTATTTTAAAGATTGCGGGAGACAGGACATCTCCCCGCTGAGGGGACAGGCATTGAGAAGAGAAATCCAGGGCCAGAAAAAGGCAAAATGGGAGTCTGTGCAAGTCAAGAAAGAAACTGCTTGTAGAGCCATGTAGACTCCTGAAAGTGCTTCATTTATTGGCTGCAGTTCTATAGGAGGCAAAAGTGCATTTGTAGTTCTGGGAGCTAACTGAAATCTGTGACCCTCAAGAAAAATAATCTTTTTTGTTTAAGCAAATCAGTGTAGTTTTTCTTTTTTACTATGCACAAGCAAACCTGATGAAAACAACTAGGTTTTTCAAGCTTCATCTTGCTTTATCTTAACAGAAACCCTTACGGATAGGTGCTTTCATTTTATAGGCGAGGAAATGGAGATTCAGGCCTATTAAAACTTTCCCCAAACCCAGCTCCTCTGAATAATTTTTTACATGTTTTTTTCCAGACTATGTGAAGCAAAATTTGAAGTTTAATTAAACTAAGAGGGATACAGTAAACAAAATATTTTCTGATTATTGATTGTGAGACTCAAGCACCCCCAAAACATTGGTGTTCCAGCTTATTCCTGAGAGACAACAATCATCACAAGAGGTTTTCA